CCAAAAAAAAACTAAGAAAAAAAAAATCATTAAATTATTCTGTTACCATCTTACAAGGTATACTTTTTGCTTACATTCAAACAATGCTTTCTCATTTATCTATTTCATACATCAACTACTTTATTAGAACCGTTAGCTACATTTCAATTCCTCACCCAATAACAGCCCTCAAAATTCATTCTTCTTTTTCTTTTTAAATTCACTTTTTATTACTATTTTCCAGCAATAAAATGAAAAAAAGTTCAGAAAATAAGAGAACGAGGAAGAAGAGGAAAAAGAAACAAAAAAAAAAAAAAGATGGAGAAACAAAAGATAATAAATCACTCCCTATATATCTAACCTTTTCCTTTTGAAGGTCATTGAGCTGAGCTTGAAATTCATTCAACTTCTTTGTGGATAAATCCGACTCATCGACTGCAGGACTCCCTACTGGCTCACTAGCTCCAGTAATTTCTGCACATATTTTCTGTATTTGAGATTGAACATCAGAAAACTCTCTAATCCTGTCATCTTTCTGTTTCCACAGTTTCTCCAATGCAGGGGCTATAGCCGCAAGCTGTTCCTTGATTGTCCCTGATGTCTTCTCAGGCTGCAAGACAACACAAAGAACAAACAGATTGTTCATTGCCAACAACCTCAAGAGTGTTCAAACACATTGGCTTACATATGAAGTACTTTTATTGTTGGAATAGCAAAAATCAACTGAGAACCAGAAATCCGTATCATTTGCAAATATAATTGTAATTGAGTAAAATTAAATGGACATGGAGTATTATGTGACAAAGTTGTAAGAGTATTTTATGAAGTCAAACCAGATTACCAGACAAGAAATAAAAAAAAAAAAATGTTAAAGCATCCCCTCTGTTTGGAAAAATGGACAACTGAAAACACCATAAACTACTTCTTAACCATCAAAAGCTGACAAACACTTGTTCTTAGTAAACAAGAATAATGAGCATCCATGGAATTGAAGAAGAAAATACTCACGTTTCCAACATAAGTCTTCTCTCCCAGGGCAGAAAGAAGGTTAGTAAGTTCAACTCTAGCATCTGCCAGTGTCTGAAGAAGTTGAGCCCTAGATTTCACAGCGCGGTCAACTTTCCTCTTGTACACATCCAGGCACTCTTGCTCCAACTGAAGGAGCATTTTGTCCCGTTCCTCATCAGTTTCACCAACTTCATCCCAGATTCGCTGCATTAAAGCAATTACTGCATTCTATCAGCATATTATCGTAAAAAATATGAAGTACAGGTAGACACTTCTGTTTTATTGTTCAAGAATGGCGTGCCTGCAACTGCTCCAATAAAGATCCACAAGTGATTTGTCCATGATGATTTTCTGTTTCTACTGCTTCCATCCCTCAGTGACTGATGAAAACCTGACAAAATTATCAAGCTTCAGTTCAGTCTCATGTTTCTGGATAAAGCAGTTAATAAGCAGATCACAAAACAGACACGCTTCATAAAAGAAAATCCTAATTTATAATGAGCAGACATCACGACAAGGACCATAAAGTGTCTATTCGGAATTCTAAACACAATCGACCAAAATATAGCATTCGAAAAAAAAAAAAAAAAAATCATCAGCAATGGAATTCGATGAAACAAGCACAACAACAACTCTGCTTCACTGCTCATTCAGAATCAATTTTTTTGTTTCTTTTTTCCAAAATTTTCACAATAAGACAAGGAATTTACTACAACTGCAAAAACCAAACTCACCAAAATGACTAAGTTTCACACAAATAAGCAAAACAAAATCCCAGATCCTTGTATGAACCTTCTCCAACTAAATGCAGTTTTCAACTAAACAAAAGGAACCACAAAAATAAAAATAGGAACAAAAAAAAGAAGAGAAACTCATTTGAAGCAGAAGAACCAGTATCCCCCAACTACCCTCCATAGCATCAAAGTATCACACAACTCAAGCACCACACACAGCGACTATAGCGCTTAAACGAAAACCCTCAAGCAAGTAAACCCACGCACGCGTCCCTAAATCGCCGGCATTAACAACCGTACACAAATGCGCCGGCAGTTCATGTTACCAGCACTACATACACCAGCCAGCATCACAATCCAGATCCAAAACACTTAATTAAACACCCACGGCTGACCATCGAATTCGAATCAAACAAAACAAAAAAAATCAGAGCAGGGAAATTAAAGCAACAGCCGCCGCACAGTAAGCAGCAGCTCGGATAAAAGCTCACCGGATCGTGGTGTGCGGGCCGGGCTCCGGTGGGTTGGGACTCAGATCTAAGAGTTGATTGTGTGTGGGAGTGTGTGTTTTTGTCCGAAAGCAGGAGTGAGAGTGGAAAGAGTGAAGCAGATGGAAAAGGATATATTCAGAGGGAGAACATGACTCATTATTGACTTGCGTTGTCGTGAAAAGCAAACGATCGTTGTGAATTATTTTAACCCGCGGATTTAGGTTTATTTACGAAGGTTGCCACCGCCAGCTGTAATTTTTGTGATTGCTTTTCGTTCTTTTTATTTTTTTACTCGTTTTTCTAAATAGAATTTGTGGAACACTTTTTTTTACTCATGGTAATTATTTTTATTGTGTAACAATAATTCTCTTGGGCGTTTGTGCTTGGGTGTTCGTTTGGGCCATGTTGCAAACTTGCAGCTCGGTTTTCCTGTCGGGTGAGGAGGGCGTCTGTTATGTTTTGCATTTTTTTATGTGTAGTGATGTTCTTTTTGTTTCTGTGTTTTTGGTTGTGATAGAGATGAGATCGCGTTGGCATTTATGGAAAAATATGATCGTTGACCTTGCTTAGTTTAATTATTTATTTCCTAGTTATTTTATTATTATGCTTTATTTATCTTTTTTCTAGTTGGTAGGTGCATATTTAATATTATTTGGAAGTTACTTGTTGAGCAAGATAGGGATTTCGACTTGGACTCTATATATTTTGTCCTTCTCCATTCAAGTCAACTAATACGAATGCACGGTAAGAGATATTCATTAAGATTTATGAATTAAAAATGCTCATTAAATAATATTTATAAATTTAAAATATAAAATCAACTCGTACGGTGCACATAACTGATATTAAACTACATTATATCATTTCAAAATAATTGTCGTTTTGAAATTTGTATTCAGAAATTCAATTTGAATACAATGTGGTTACATAAAATAATTATTTTGATAAAATTTTATCATATATTTAAAAATCTATGTGAATAATAAGTAAAAAATAATTTTTTATATTATTTAATTAATTAAAATAAAATTATTTTTGTATAAACTCTTCACTTCAAAAAAAATTATATAGCTGAGTAATTTTTTAAACTATAAGTAATTGACTATTCTAATTATCTCCAAGTTAATATATAATTACTTATTTTCATTTTAAATTTGGAATCTAAATTTGGACTACACGATAAACATCCTTGTATATTTTATGTATATCTATATTTTACCAATCTCAAAATTTTCTAGATTATTGTCGGCTACCTTATGGTCAAATTTATCAACTAATTCTCTATAATTAAATTATAAATTTTAAGTTTTATTAACAAATATTTGTTCAAATATTTTTCTAATTTTTGAGAGAAATACACACCAATTTTCTTATCTTATGGCAAGTTATTATGGGAATATTTTAAAACAGTAAAGCTTGAGAATCATATCACCTTGATTTTATAACAAATCGACCTAAACTTCGACTTTCATACTTGTACTAAATAAAATTCATACCACTTATTTTATTTTCAAAATTCAAATACACTTCTCTTCATATCAAATGAAATTTATACTATTTAAGTTCGGACATTTTATACCAAATTAAAATCACCCTCTTTTTATTCATCATAATACTCAATTATTGTTTTATTCAAAGATTTATTGTCATATAATATGTATTAAGATAATTTTTTAAATTAACCACTAAATTTTATTATATGCAAATATTTTGATATTTTTAACAAAGTAAATTTTATACTCTTACAGCTTACGCAACACGGAATTCTATTTACGCTACGTAGTATAAGAACTAAAACTCGACGAATTACTTTTAAAATATTTTAAAACACTAAAAGATATACAATTTCAATATAAAAATGGCGTTTATGCGAGATTACATTTTTTTAAGGGGAAACCCGTGCGTCAGACATGGCTTAAAATTTCAATTATTGATTTGTTAAAAATTAAGCAAATTATTTATTTTTGTAAACAAAAAACAAATAAATTTTATAAATTCTCAATAAATTTTTAAAATCGTTTCCTTTTTATTTATCATATTACTATATAATAAAATCAAAATATTTTGAAATTTGAAATTAAAGCTATATTGGCGGGTTTTTTTCGATTATTATTTTTTTTCAAAAAGATTACCAAATTTATAGATATAAATATTGGTGTATAATAAATTCAAAGTATCATGGGCATGTGTTTCCTGTATGAAATGATGTACCAAAATTTTAATTTCAATATCAATTGGGACGTTTATGGAAGAAAAGACATACCACAAAAAATATGTACATACATTGATTTCTAAGTCAAATTGGTTTTTTGTATTTTATTTTTTTTTCAAATAATCGAAAAAAAAGATAAAATAGAGAAGGTAAAAATCTGATTTCATTTTTTTCTTTTTGTTAAATCAAACTACAACCTAAAACAATTAGTCACCCGTAAAAAAAAAAAAAAAAAAAAAAAAAAAAAAAAAAATTCTTTAAGGTAGCTTTATTTTCGGGAAACAAAAGTAACAAATTCCATAATTTAAGGGCAACATTTAATGCTGCCCTATTTTAGAAAAATAAAAATAATAAAGTTACTAAAAATAGTAGGTAATTAATGTTGGCCAAAATTTGACCTACTATTTTAGAAAAATAGTAATTCTTTATATATATATATAGATTGGCTATATTTGAATAAACTTATCATATTTTGAGATTTTATATCATATTCTCCTTTCGTTTACGCTGCGCTACATCAGGTTGTTTTTGGTTAGTTGTGTGTTTTTTTTTTTCCGGAACGATAGAGGTATTATTTATAAGTCAAAAGCGCACAAATGTGCGAATAAAAATACAAAGCTCCCAACGGGAGAATAAAATGGGAGGACAGGTCAGAAGCCCGCCTAGAATCCCGCTAGCAACACTAGAATAAAAACTCGAACTAAACAAACCGACTACACGACCACGACCCCAAAGGGGTAATACTTACCAACACTACAATAAACACAACAAACAATACAAAGACCCCAACAGGGTAATACCGAGTCTCGCACCCCAACAGGGTAATAAATGTTGGTAATACTTACCAACACTACAATAAACACAACAAACAATACAAAGACCCCAACAGGGTAATACCGAGTCTCACACCCCAACAGGGTAATAAATGTGACACTCAGGCGCACAAAGGCCAAATGACCCAAACCTAAAACACAGACAACACAAAACATGAACTAACAACAAAACAACAAAAACTACTAACAAAAGACAGACAAAACCTCCCTCAGCAGTTGCATTCGAAGAGACGGAAGACGAAGCCAATACCAAGGGGAACTCCGAAGCTCAAGTACCCCGCCCGCCACTGCAGAAGGCCTAGCAAGACGAAGACCCAATCCTCCAAACAAACCTGAGAAATCAGCCCGCACACCGTGATAAGAAATCACAGACTCCCCCCAACTGGCTAACACCACTAGCCAATTCGAAACCGTCCCAAAATTGCCTAACACCACTAGCCAATTCCGGAAACAAACGGCCTCCCACAACTCGGAGCCGAGAAATAGGAGGAAGGGGTGAGCGATTTCAGAGCTCAGCCGCTCCAACCTCGCCCAAAGAGACAACCTCAGCCCGGAGACACCACACATTCACCCAGGGTACACGGAGCTATGTTATTCTCCCGTTGAGAGCTATGTTATTCTCATGTTGGGAGTTGTTTTTTTTTTTTTTTGGTTTGGTGTTCTTGTGTTTAGGTTGGTTTTAGGCTATCTCGGGCTCATTGCTTATGGAGTTAGTCCTCCCAACTAGATTTAGCCGAGTAGTTTTTTTAATCGGCTATTTAGCTGTTTTCTAGTATGTAATTACGTGTTTTTCTGTTAATGAAGTCTATGTGTGGAAAAAAAAAAACAAACAATAATTCACTTTACATTCTTGTAATACTAGTACGAATTCCGTGCAAATGCATGGGTAAAAGATATTCATTATTATTTGTTAATTAAAAATATTCATTAAATAATATTTATAAATAAAAAATTTGAAATCAATATCTATATAATTTACTTATATTAATTTATTTCAAATATTATATGATTAATTTGTGTAAAATTACATAAAAATGTCTATTTAAAATTAGAGTAATGCTTACCTACCCACGATGGGCACATGTTAATATGTCCACCGC